ACTCAAATGGGAAACATTATCTTCGGTGGACCCCAGAGCGAAATATGCAAACAACATCGCACGACGGTTTGAACAGATCCCGGTGATATCAACTGATGTGGAAACCGAGTGGCAGCTCTTTAAGAGCAGCATACTCGAGACTGCCGCTGAATGCCACTAATTCAAACGAGTTGTCCGGCTACCTTGAAGTCAGAAAAGAATTTCCTGGTGACATTGTTGTTCATAGAGCTGCGGCTATATATGAGAAGCATTCATGGAAGATTTGGAAGATCCTAGTTTGTCATTCATGTTCAGTATCGTGTTCATTCCCATTTGTCGTAGCTTTTGTTTTATTTCTTCATTATGTTGCTTTATGCTAACTTTTTTCTATTAAGTTTTGTTAACCGTGATTTTAATATCTCCTCTGCGCACTGTTCAGCCATTTGGTGAAAAAGGAACATCGGTGCGAGTTCTGAAAGCTTCCTTTAATACAATTTTTTTTCCAGTCTTCTAACGGTCTCTTTATCTATGATAATAGTCATTGTAATGATAATCGTTCTGAAACCGAGATGATGATATAGCCATCGCATAGGTGATATTCTCAGGAATGATTATAATCATAATGACTTTCGTTGCTTCTTTGAGGTTTTATGCTGGTGATGACGATGACTGTGATGCGGATGAAGCATATAGTGATGAATAACAAAACTAATAGTATATTTAACACAAAGTGTTAAATCCGTCTTTGTGCCCGTGCTGTTCGTGTTTTTCTTTCATAACTTTTATTTACTCAGCCCGCGTCTGCTAGAGGTTCTGGAATTCGACTGATTAGCGACTGGATGGAAATCGTACGGGATGAAAACATGGTCGCGCAGAAGTAGGCAGGAATGGAACGATCGGCTAGACATTGATTCTAAATCTCTTGCTTAGGTACATAAGTCGTCCTCTGCTCATTGACGGGTGTAAGTTCGATCTGAGAATTTACGCCTACGTCACTAGTCTCAATCCGCTGCGTATCTACTTGTTCGACGATGGCATTGTTCGTTTCGCTAGTTCCAGGTATAAGCATGAATTTCGCATTGACTGACTAATTTTTCCGTAACTGATTTTTTTAATTTTAAAATTTATTTCTGTTTTGCTATTACATTTTATACTGATTATTACACTGAATAGTTAGATATGAGACATGTTGTCAGAGTGAAGTGCAGCCATGAGGGCGCTCCCATTGGGCAGCTTGGTCGTACACTTCGTCCATGCTGGCATGACCTGACCATAATGCCATGCTGTCGTTGTTATTCGCAAGTCACGTACTACCCATTTTTTTGGCTGGCAGCTGTGAAGCACCATTAGGTTAATTCGTTGCTCAAGGGAACTAGTGGTTAAAACAGAGGATATTTCTTTTTCGGATTCGAACCTAGACCTTCGTTGTTCGAAGCCGACCTCTTTGTCACTGTGCCACGGCTTACAGATTATTGTTCCACATGAGAGTCATGTGCCTAACGCGTTTATAATGATAGTGGTAGTTAAGGTGTGCAGATTTAGCCTTTATTGATGATATAACTGACCGGAACAGGATAAGATATACTGTTTCGGCGAAACAAACCATGACCTCTGACTGACCTGTTCTGGTGGTACTGAGTTTACATGTTACTCTTCTAATTGTGCTTGGCACAGTGGACATCACTATTGGTAGTTTTAAAGTGCTGAAGTGGACGCGCTTCGGCAGAAATTCGACTAAAGTGACATGATATTATCAGGCGCTGACGACGTAGCTGAAAATAGGCATAAGAGGCGCTGTGTAATAAGCCAGCTTCGAACTCTGAAGGTGCCGAATTCGATTCCGACGGGCGTGAATCTTTGTCTTAAGCACAGTTTCCTTTGAGCAACGAGTATGCGACAAGTTGTTTGAAGTCTAAGTTACTCAGTCGTTTGGGCATCAGGCTCAGAACCAAGAGGTCCCCATGTTCGAGCCCCCGTTGGGATCGCTCATCTATTTTTTATGAGAGGTTGACAAATGAATTCCTCAATGTGGGATGATAATATGAGACTAAACACTATGCTTTTCACATGGATGCTGTCGACTTCTGGCTGAATGCGTGGAAATGGAGATCAGCGCGCTCCCGTCATTCACTTCATCCAAATATGGCCGCCAGAAAGACCGACAGTCGAAAGGTTGTAAACTTTTTTCAGTGTGTCTAGTGTCTTTTCCATCTGGTGCCTCCCTCAGGTTGCGGATAGGAAAAACGCTCAAGATATTGAGGTTTTCTTTAACAAATAAACAGTTACGGCCAGGCAAGGGTGGGATAGGCAGGACGTGGTTGGGTTCGAATTCAAGGGGTTCATTCTTTAGGAATAAGTTACACTGTCTTATGACATCTCATGACAAAGCGAAAGCGACCCGCCACCTTCAAGAACGAGACCGCAGCTTTGCAGTTAGACGTCAGTTCATCAGAGGCTAGAGAAATAACTTCGATGAAGCTGTGCGGAACTGGGGGACCTGTTTGTAAGAAATTCCTCAAACCACTGCCAGTCCTGCAGCGGCTGGCAGTACTCAATGCGCTGACAACAGAACAACAGAAAATACAGCGACCGGGGCGATTTTTCTCCAAATATCGAATTGTCCAGGCGATTGTGGTAACAATTTCTGTAGGTTTTTTCCAGGCGCTGAAGCCGTTGGAGAAGGAGTTAAGATGGAGCATCTCAGAGTAACCGACTGAGTTCCGTCTTGACTTTTGATAAGATGACTCACTGCTAAAGACTGCACAAAAGCGAATATCGTTCATGAAACTGTAATTGACTGAATGCAATCATGTGATTATCTTGACACGACGGATGATGCTACTGAGAATGTGCAGGGAAGTACACTTCGGCCATAGTGGGATAACGATTAGGATATTTAGAAATGTTAATATAACAATCTTCCGTTAATAATTTTCAGTTGATTGAATAACTATCTAGTTTTGCAGTACTCGTGTCACTTGAATTTTTTTTGCAAATCTTTTGCGAGCTGGTTAATTTTCATGTCTATGACATTTTAGCTATTCAGACAACCTTGATTCCCTGTCAAACCAGTACATTCACCTTACAAACTACAGTATTAATAAAAATGCGTCTCTGAATCAGGGATCGACAAATATTGGCTTGAAATGGTTAGTTTACACATTTTTGTTACCTTCACATATGTAAAACTCATCGTTTCCAGGTCTCTGCGGCAGCTGTGGAATTATTTGGCAGAAAAGGGATGGGACGTGCCAAAGGTGATGGAAAGAATCGTCGATTTGGTCATTAAAACGTTTATCTGGCAAGTGTCTTCCTTACGCAAGTTTACTGCGTTGCTATGGTGTTTCGAGCTAGTGGACTTAATCTTTATAGTCCTGGAATCAGGATTGTCTTTTTCAGTTTCTGCATTTTCTATAGATACACATGTTTCACGGGTATAATCCTTTTTTGTGTGAGTAGCGCTTGAACTTTAACACCGGTCGGTTATAAAATTTGTCATCATAGTGGATCTGTTTCTAGACAGAAATAAACTTGCCGGTAAATCAGATCAGGTTGTATATCCAGCAAATTCGCAGCTGAGCCTATCCATTACCTGCTCCAGACTCTTTGAAAGTATCCTTCGACATCTCTATCCACAAGGGGAGGGGCATTTCTGCATATGTGCAAAAAATTTAAGCATCCGGAGTATCACGATCTGCAGAATGCAGAACGCAACTAAAGCTCTCGAAGCAATTATATTTTGTTACATTGCACGTGAATTTTAGTTGTCACTGTATGAAAGCTATCCATTAATTTATTGATCTTACAACAGTATTATGAGATAGAAGTGAGTGATGCATAGATGCATCAAAGTGCGCTATGAACGCGAGGTAGCTGTAGCGAACAAAATGGTGCTCGAATCATCTTTCACTGCAGGTCCTCAATTACCATTGAGCTGGTGGCCTGCTAAAATCTCCCCCATCCTTTTACTGGCAATTGGGAGCAGCGGTGCAATGAGATCTGATCTTAAGGGAGTTATGCTCTGTTTGACAAACGATATTCGGTATTTCGTTATCTCTGAGTACAATATTATATGCTGATATTTTTACGCATCAGCATAAACATTAAAATATGTTAGTACGCCAAAATATGTTAAATAATGCATAACTCCTCCAATGCTAGATTTCACCGCCTCCTTACCTCTTGTTGCCAAGGGCAGCCGTATATATGCGTTCTATCAACCATATTGTATTTTGTTGGAAAAATAATGAAATCTGCCAATTGAGTGTTGAGTATGGAATTTCCGGCCGTTGTTTCACAAGCTCGTTTCTCTGAAGGAAACGTGCCTGTACCAAATATCTCATTCTTGCAGTTTCACAACGTTTTTCGACCTCATGACGAAACAGCTGGGCTATTTGTCTCTGAACAAAGCACCGGAGGACCATACGCTTGTTGCTCCATCTAGCGTTTCACTCTGGTTTGGGAATGACAATAATAGCATTTTGCTTCATGCTTCTGATTTCATCTGATTTCTCCCTCATATATAGTCGCACCACAAAACTGATCTCGTTCCTCCATAATTTTTGAGCGTTTCTTAGCGGATGGTTGTTCGGGGTGCGAATCTTCATTAACGTTTGGCGATATCTCTCTACTTTTATCCGTCCCAAAAAATTCAAAGAAGTGAAGCACCTTGTGAAATTTTGTAAGCGAATAGATATAATTAGTGAGTGGCGGGCAATAACACCATTTAAACCTACCGAAGCATATTCTGCATCATTTTTAGGACCCTCACTTGCGGGATCACGTATTTTGTGGCTTTGTAACCTTGCCCTTCACGTTTCGACGTTTCGTATGATGTGGTTATCAACCTCGCTTTACACGATTTTTTAGCTGTGAACCCCCAATGAGCCAATTTGTGGTTAAGTTTACATCGTTGCCGTCGATTTGCCATGAACTGTTCGGATTCGATGTTATTCTGGACAGCGACTTGAAGCCATGGCTGGTCGAAGTGAACATATCGCCAAGCATGCAGTGTAACTCGCCAGTCGACTACACTGTCAAGGAACCGTTAATCACCGACGTGCTGAATCTCTCTGGCATTCAGGTTCCCCCGCCCAATGCATTCAAAAGTGCGCGAAAGTCCATTTTGCAAGTTTCGCTGTAAGAAGTTATATTTTCCATACATTCATCACTCTTGAATGTTTAGATACGAAAATCTGGATTGCCGCTTCTTAGATTTTAGGATCAAGCCCCGGTTTCACTTACTAGGTGACAAAGACAAGATCAAGTCCAGTTTGTTTCTGGAAAAGTATCTAAGGACTGCGGTAGTATTTAATATATATTCACGGCTATTGTATTTGTCCTCAACAGCCGTCGTTATTTTCAGGAGGTGGATCCATCGATTTTAAGCGATCTAACTCCAAGCGATTTGCGCGTTTTGATAGACACAGAGGACGAGTTGGATCGAAGAGGTCGCTTTCAGCGTGTGTTTCCGGCACCGTTGTCGTCGAAGTACTTGCGATACTGTGATCCGCCAAGATATTATAATCTATTGCTGGACGAGTGGACAAGGCGATTCTCTGAAGATCGTGAATCTGGTATTTTTATCGAGTAGTTGTACCTTATTATCACAAGTGTTTAAGGTATTGCATATATCGATTCTTACTGCAGAAAGTGGTGCCACGCGAAACAGTAGAACCAGACATAACACTTTCATCAGTAGGCCTTTTGATCTCCGGATGGCAGTCTGCCGTTCGTAGGCATTCTTATGAAATCTAGGATTCAGCTTCTTCCAGTCAACAACTTTTTCTATATTTGTTTGAAGCAACGAAGTTTGCTAGCTGTTTTGGCAATGGTGTCTGAAAATCTTTCTATGTGCTGCCATCACTCAGGGCATATGAGAATAAACTTTTATAAAACAGTGCAGCAAGTACTTTATTGAATGCTTACTGTCTAATTGCTATTATTATTGTTGCCAAGCTGACAGGATGAAGCGCGTCATTTATTCCTTTTACACAATCTTTTTAACTGCTGTATTAACTTCGATGTATATTTTGATTATTTTCGGGAAGAGAAGCTTTGATTCAAAATAGTAGTCGTAAGAAAAATAGTTATTGCTAAAATCAGGTACCGTCGCTTTGCTTACAGCAGAAGAGGGGACAATTTAAACAGGCTACTGCTCCATGATAGTCACCTGCAGAGTAT